TCTGAATTCGATGACATAATCATCCACGTAACTGAGTTATAAATACATCGATTTTATTTATCAGCTGCATAGAGTTAGTTTATGGTATGAATAACAAGCCCTGAAAATTTCATTGGAATCAAAAAGAAAAGAAAAAAGTAGATGAGAAAAACTATCAAAAATTGATGTTTTGAGAATAAAGGCCATTTTGTTACATAATAGGCAAAATAAAAGTTTTAGGACAGAAAATCTGAAAGAAAATGTTTGTAACTCAAAGAGTAAGCATTTTTTAGATTTACAAGTGATTGCATTATTATAATACGTAAAAAGTCCAAATAACATAAATTGACCCAAAATCGTCAATTTAAAACCAGCCCCTCCCCTTAAATTTATCTCGGGATTGAGCTCCGAAAAGCACGCACACGATTTCTGTTTCTGTCGAATAGCCTACAATGAAGTTTCGTTTTAGTAGAGTTTTTAAGGCGCTCGCAACTGCATAAGGTCATATGAGCGCTCAGGGGTGGATGTCAACAGAGAAGTCCATTAAAGGAATCAGGCTTACTCTGCTCACCTCTCTAGCTTCAACAGCACAAAGTCTGCTTCGACTATCAAGGTGCCCTTGAAATAGGGGGTCACAAAAGGATTAGGAAAGAAAAAGCAGCAGTTCCCCGTTGCAGTTCAGGCACAGTTATTAGCATGACATTGATGAATCAGCCCATTTACAATTCTACTGTGCATCAGAACACGTTAATGTCCCCCCTTCGGAAAAGGTCTAAAGACACTTCAGTCGGTCTACGACAAAGTTAGAAGAGAAGAATCTATTTTTATGACGTAAAATAATGGCTCGCTCGTTCCACTTCACAGTTTGGAAGATAAGGTGATCGAGGTCTTCGCGAATGCTGAATGGACAGCCTCCTAAATTAATCAACATTGTGTTGGTTGAGGCGTAGAAATATCTACTTTTAAAAAGAAGGCCATTTCAATTCCCACAAGCAAGGAGATGCACATGACGTATTCATAGGGGCTGTTCAAATATCTTAAACCTTTTTGGTGACTTTTTGTCGTCCCCCCCCCCTCCCCTTAAACTTTTCTTTCATATTTCCTCTACCCCCCT